CTGGGCCTGCTTGCTCCTCCCAAGTTGATCCTTCTGCCCTGAAGACCCCTGCTACTAAAACTGTATGCCAGCCTAATGATGTTGGGCTTCCTGCCTAGCCCACCGTTACCATTGTACCTGAGGTGCAGGGGGTGATGGGGGAGAATTGGGGATCAAGGCAGGGCTCAGGATGGGATCTCTAGAGGGTCCAGTGAGGCATCTCTGAGATGGTTAAGCTAGCACAGGGGGCACAGCTCAGAGCACATGATACATACATGACACATACAGCTATCCTCATTCCCACCCTTGGATGAAAGCCTCAAACTCATGGCTCAGGAAATCCCAGAGCTTTTATTAAAGAATTCAGCACATGACTTCTGCATCAGCTCAGGGTACAGGTTGCCTCTGATCCCTTGAACTTCTTATATGGGATGTCATAGAACAACACTTGTCAAACAAAGAACGATTTCTAGGGTTATTCAAATAGGGGTACCTTTTATTTTTTGCAATGTAGGTTATGGTAATCAGCATAGTGGGTTAAAGCAAATGTGAGAGGTTATTGAAATGGTGCAACTTGCATTTGAGGCTCAAATTTTGAGGACCGGCCTCTCCAGATGCTTTTATCATAGCTGGTAGGAGGCATGGGGCACATAATTGATTCAGCACACATTTAAAAGTGAAGCTACCTACTTTTGCACCTTCAAGAACAATAAGCAAGCGGAAACACCAAAAGCCTCCAAAATTTACTGTTCTCTGAATCTGGAAAGTCGGTTCTTCTCCTGCCAAGTAATGTCTACAAAATGCATACAGTGGGGTTAAGTGTGCCTAGAAATGCAAAAAATGTATTCACTAATATAAAAATGTATTATATTAGGGAGAATTGCTTTGCAAAAATGTGTATATTAGGCAAGAATGCATTAAGACAAAATTGCATTTAAAATGCTGCTGAATTTTCATGAGGACTTTGTTTTGTTTTGTTTTGTTTTGTTTTGTTTTAAAAAACAGACATTGGTGCTAAAAAGCAGAGAACTGATTTTAAGAGAGAAAGTGAAATTGGCAGATATGGCCCTCCCGACAGGATATGTTGCTGTTCCTATCTGGTACTCAATGGTAGAGTCCATTCCCTCTGTATCATTCAGAAACTCCATCACTTTTGCCCATCCAAACAATTCACCTAACTTTATCCACTGTGGCCTTTCAGTCCCTCCACTCGTGAGTTCCAACAGATCAGAGCCCTAAGCGAAAATCCATCTTGGCTTGTGGACCACCTGAAGACTGGCTACTTTAAGCTGATTGCGTTTATCTGAGCGAAGCAGTATTTGCTGGTGCAGCGTCTGTGGGGATCTATCTGTGTCCCATGATGTGATGTCACTGTGCTCTGAAAGAATCAATCCTGGTGGCCTCATTTGGGAGGCTGTCCAGCCTTGGGCACTGGGAGTCAATAGTGCCCTTGCATCCGTGACTTCTATGCTCATTCTTCAGCCACCCGAGACCTGATAGAGCCCCAGACTGGCTGCAGATCCCCTGAACTCAGTTTGGAGTATTTCCTGGGACGTTTCAAGTGTGAGTAGTACAATATTTATTCAACTTTTGTAGTCCTGTCAGGTGCTGGAATTGTTCAGAAAAGGGAGAGGTGGGCAGCTTGCATTAACACTGAGCCCGGTGGTTTCTCCTAGCTTAGGATTTTCATTCGACAAAAAAGGAAAGTGGGATATCAAAGAGGCAAAAAGCTCTCATGGGTGCTTTAATCAACTAACAGCTTGACCTTGTGCATGTTTAACCAAAGAAAAGGCCTATTGACTTCAGTGATACTTACTCCATAGTAAGCCTATTTGGGATATTGCAACTTATCTTTTAAGTCTTGCAGTGTGGTGGGACTACTTGTAAAGTCACTGCAATAGGCTGATTAAAAAACTCAGGTGATTAATCAACTAAAATTTTGTCAGTTGGCTGGCAGCAGTCATAATAAATATTTAAATAAGTATTTATATTCCTTAATCAGCTGCAATGCAACAATATTTTCTCTTAGTTGTTGGTCAGGGTGTTGCAGTAATGAAATGAATGGATTCCAGCTCTTCGTTTGCAGCGAGTGGAAGCCCTGAATGGGTGTTGGCTGCTGGTTCAGTCTCAAAGTGACTTTGGAGGGGATTGATTTTCCTGCCATGAGCAATCACCCTTTCATTTTCAGGCACCCATGAAGGGCAATCAGGGCACATGAAATAATTAGCAAACTAATATGCATTCATGATTTTTTTTAATTTGATTTTTTTTAAAAAGACTCAGATACTCTGCAGGTGCTATACAGGGAAAGATGCCACAGAATAGAAATTTGACACTATGGCTTAAGCTGAGCCTTGGAAGAAACACTCTTTGTGGAAGAATATGATGCTGTTCAATGATTCTGCCTTAATAAGTAGACTGTGTGACCTACATCTCACAAGCAGCAGATGAGGTGATAAACTTGTGTGTGCCTGGGCCACTTTAGATTGCAGGTGGCAGCTGGTTGAATGATCCTCCATAACTCCCCCCCCCCGCCCCACGTAAAACTAGACACAAAGGGGAAGGGTGCTAGCTTAGATTTCCCAGTGCCATTCATGTTTTCTAGGTTCAGGGCATTCAAAAAAGAAGTATGGGGGAGTGTCATTCTGTCACATGAGTCCCCACCTCTATTTGCCTCCTTGTTCGATTATTTATTCATTTTATTTATATCCTGCCCTTCCTCCGAAAGGAGCCCAGGATGGTAAACCGCAAGCGAAAACACTATAAAAACATCTTTACAACAATTCCAGTACAGATGCAGACCTCAACTTTTAAATGTGTTGAAGGAAGGTCTTCAGCAGGCAATTAAAAGACAGCCTGGGAGGTTGTGCCTGCCTAACATTCCAGGGGAGCGGATTTGAAAGGGCAGGGGCCACTACACAAAAGGCCTGGTTCCTACACTGTGTGGAACAGGCCTCCTGATAAGAAAGCACCTGCAAGAGGCCCTCACCTCAGCTGGGTATATAAGGAGTGAGGTGATCTTTCTGGTTATCCTGGTCCCAAGCCATGGCATCTCCAGGCAGGGCTGGGAGGGACTGCTACCTGAAACCTTGGAGAGCTGGTGCCTATGACCATTGTAGACGATGCTAAGCTAGGTGGTCTGAGGCAGTAAAAGGCAGCTTCCTATGATGGGGTTCCTATATGTGACAAATGTTAATGGGTGTTGATGGCTGGCCAGGTATCTGGAGTGAGTGTGCCAGTGGGTTCCCCAGTGCTTTAGGCATGGGTCTGCCTTTACTGGGGCTCTTTGAAAGGCCCAAGAGTCGGCATGCCTTGGGTGACTTGATTGAGTTTGAGACTAGGCAGAGAGGAAGGCGCCTGCATTCCCTCACATCCCTTTGTCTAGTTGGTAAGCATCACTCCTGAAGGTAAAGGATGCTCTTGTGCCAGTTCCCTAAGCCTCTGCTTAGTTCGCCTTCCCTGGCAAAATGGAGTTCACTAGCATGAAGAAGCTGTTAGGGTAAGCCTTAAAATGATGGTGACGCAGAGCCCCTTGCTAACACTTACATTGGTGGTGACTAATCACTGGCTTGCATGATCAGGCTGATGCCATTTTTAGAAGTGCAAAACACCATCAGCACATCAGCAATCACTCAATTCTCCATCTTCTCTTATTTCTTGGCCAGTTACCCGCTGGATCAGAAATTTCTGTTTTCTTCTCCCCCGCTGGGTTTCACAGGTAAAAGGTTAACAGCCAATGCTACGTGGAGGAGATTTGATTACCTATTTACTATTTATGAATTTACTGCTATTTACTACTATTTACTGCTCACATGCCCAAATGGCTTCTAAGCGGTTTGCAAGTGTAAAATCAATTACAAAATCCATCAATTATTAAAAGGCACACACAATAAGACAATTCTATGAGAGCATTTTAAAAAATTGTAATTAAAATATACAAAAAAACCAGAAGCTAGTTAAAAAGCATAACAATTTAAACAGTTAAACTATTGTGGAAAACTTAACTGCGAAGCAACCTTACCAACCCACCCTGCAACAGCTATGGAGAACTAGTTGAGTAGTCCCAGGATCCAGAATTGCTGTAAGGGGGGGTGGCTTTGTCCCTGTCTCCCCTCCCCACCAAATAATATTTTTGATTTATTTATTTCAGCAACTTCTGCTGCCCGTAACACCATACAGTAGTTTATAAGCTTTGTGTTATAAAGTTATGTTGATATTGATATATGTTCCAGTTTTGTTATTGCTGTTATAGTGAAATTGCTATTGAGACAGTGGGTTTTGTTTGGGCTGCCATACGTCTGGAATTTCCTGGACATAGCTGGGATTCGTCTGTCAGAAATTGTGTCTGGGTGGAATTTTTTGGAACTCAGTTAAAATGTCCGGCAGCCCATACTGGCATATAGGAAGTGTTGATTTTTTGGCGAATTTCCTGAAAAAAATAGGTTAAAAACTCTCTTTTTTGAGTTACCCCCCCCCCCGCCCCAACCAGCTCAGCAACTTTGCAACAACTTTTGTGTCTGGATTTTCACTTTTTGAAATATGGCAACCCTTGTTTTGTGATTTATTGTTCTCATTGTTATTGTAAGCCGCTTTGGGCATCATTTTTTGTAGAAAGGCAGCATACAGATAAAATGGAGGTGGCGGTGCACAATGGTGCTAATGTCATACAGGACTCTAATTTGCCTACTGCACTGAGGCTTAGCAAAATCTGATATAGAGATCTGGATAAAAGGACATCCAATTTTCTAAAGAGACAGGATTGCTCTGTTGGGAAGTTCCTTACAGGAGAAGGAAGAAGAAAGATGGGGTGAAAATGTGCCCGCTTGACTACACTGTGTTGATGACACTGCCTTTGTTTTCGTGGATGTCAAAGACAGGGATGTGGAGGAGCTCTCTCTTATGTTGTGTAGGTCCTGAGTTGATGAGAAATCACAATAAAAATGATTTTCTTACAAAACCAAACCCAGAAGACTTTAATTGTTCCTCCTGCTCTTTGTACTCTAAGCATCCCCTGATTGGCCATGATGGATGATGAAGATGCAATGAGCGAGAGAGGCCTCAGCACCTCCAGGATGCGATATGATGATGAAGATGGTAAGTTGACTCCACGTGTCACAGTTTGATCTGTCTGCCTTCCATTGTGGCCACTAGCGAAGGCTTGCACCCTTGTACACTCCCTTTTTATGGGGCAACTGAACATCAGCATGAAGAAAATACAGTCGTACCTCGGATATCAAACAGAATCCATTCTGGAAGTCCCTTTGACTTCCAAAACCAAAGCACGGCTTTTGATTAGCTTCAGGAAGCTCCTGCAGCCAATTGAAAGCCGCAGAAGCCCTGTTCAGCTTCCAAAAATTGTTCACAAACCGGAACACTCACTTCCATGTTTGTGGCGTTTAGGAGCTAAAACGTTCGAGAACTAAGATGTTCGAAAACCAAGGTACGACTGTATTGTCCTTGCATGTTTTCCCTGTTCAGCTTCTACTATTATTATTATTATTATTATTATTATTATTATTATTAATTTTAATTCACTCGTTAAAATGACCCAAAGTGACTTAGAAACACACCAGAAATACTAAACTAATCGTAATAAACACAATCAACCAAAACCTTTATGGGCACAAAGCTCGGAAAATCTGAACACCAGAAGAGCCTGCTGGGTCAGGTCATTGGCATATCCAGTCCAGCATCCTGTTCTCAAATTGGCCAACAATACGCCTGTGGGAAACCTGCAAGCAGGACTGAAGTACAGCGGCACTCTCCCCTCCAATGGTTTCCCGCAAGTGGGATTCAGAAACATTTCTTTCTCTAACTGCAGAGGCAAAGCAGAACCATCAGATGGGCAGGGTACAATTACAGACCCTTCAAGCATCCCTTTTTATGGGGCATCTGAACATCAGCATGAAGAAAACATCGCCCTTGCATATTTTCCCTGTTCAGCTTCTACTATTATTAATAATAATTATTATAATTAATTAATTAATTCACTTGTTGAAATGACATACAGTAGTATCTTGGTTCCCAAACTTAATCCGTTCCGGAGGTCTGTTCCAAAACCAAAGCGTTCTAAAACCAAGGCATGCTTTCCCATAGAAAGTAATGCAAAATGGATTAATCCGTCCCAGACTTTTAAAAACAACCCCTCAAACAGCAATTTAACGTGAATTGTACTATCTAATGAGACCACTGATCCATAAAATGAAAGCAATAATCAATGTACTGTACTATAAAATAAATAAGACAGTAATGTAGATAATGAAAAATTTAAATTATTGTTTTTTCTTAGGTACACTGATGATAGTCATTGCTTGGATGGGGGGCTTGTATCCATTTCTGCAGTCATACAATCAATCAATCAATCAATCAATCAATCAGTAGCTGAACTGGGTTCCACACAGTCACAAAAACAAGTCACAAAAAATAAAGTCACAAGCCACAGTCACAAGTCAGTCCCATAAAACAAAGAACAAGTCACAGTCAAAAAAAATGAAAAAGCCACACAAACAAAAACGCAAAAAATAGCAAAAACAAAAGCTCCAAATATCACCTCTGTGTTGCGTGGGTTCTCAGGACTCAACAGCCAACAGACTCGACAGGAAGGCTCTTTTTTTCTTTTCTTTTACAAACAACAAATGGAACACACTTGACAGGACGCAGAACATGTTCATCTTCCAAGGCAAAGTTCACAAACCGGAACACCCACTTCTGGGTTTGCAGCATTCTATTTCCAAGTTGTTCATAAACTAAACTGTTCTAAAAACAAGGTACCACTGTAATAAAACTTTAAACTTTTTCTTTTACAAAAAAAACCTTCCCCGTACAGGGCTGCCTTCAGATTTTTTCTAATGGTATTTCGGGGGTCACATAACTCCATACCCTCCAACAGAGCCAGGGACAGAATGAAAGAGAGCCCAAGAGATTTGTTGGGAATGATTTTGGAGCTTTGCCCTGTGGGCCTTTCTCTTTCTTCCCCCTCTGATCCTCCCTCCCTTGCACTCTCTCTTCGCCTCTGTCTCTTCCTCTTCCTAGCAGATTACCATTCCATCTACATTGGGGTGCCAGTGCCACGTGGCTACAGGAGAAAGAGGCGCAGGAGGAGATCGTCGTCCAGTCGGGACAAGAACGGCGACAGTGAAAGGCATTATGAGCGCCAGGACCGCTCAGACACAGACGACGGGGGCAGGATCAGCTATGAGAATGGAAACGACAATGCCAGCAGGACTAGTGAGTAGGGAAACGGGGAGACATAAGGCTAAGAATTCCTTAGGATCTTCATGATTATCTCAGCATCACTGCTCTCAGTATACATGGTACCGTAAACACAGTATTGGCTCCAGGTTTTGGAGGAGGTGTGCCCGTCCTGCAGCAGCTCCTGGGGGCTCTTGTCGCTGGGTCCCCAGCAAATGCCCAACCATGCCAACCCTTGCTGCCAACCCTGCCTAAGTGAAAGACCAGTTGCTGCCTCTGGGAGCCCACAAGCTAAATTTTAACAGCGGAGAGGGAGGGCAAGCGATCACAATTCCTTGCAGTCTGCATGAAAAAGGAACAATGCCTGATTTCCACACAGCTCATCATGCATTATGTGGGGAGTGAGGTAGACGCTGCAGAATCAGAAAGAAGTTGAAAACACATCTCTACAAGAACTAAATTGGTGGCTCTGCATATGCAATCAGATCTCTCTTGTCAAGATCTTTTTTTTTTAAATGATATTTATTAAAGTTTCAAAAAATACAAAAAATACAGAATACAGAAAAGAGAAAAATAAAAATTTTAAAATATAACCAAAAAAGTAAAAAATAAAAAGAAACATACCAAATAAAACAGTTAAAAGGATATTAATTTTCCATAACCTATCTTCCCTATACTTATTTCCCCAGACCTCCTCATACCTCCCTTTTTTGTATTCCAGTTCAATTTGTTAGTTCAGCAAATCCTTACCATTAAACTTTTACCCAGTTGCAAACCTTTTTTCATGTCATTTAAGGCATTACAGCTAAAAACCTTCCTTAATTTTACAATATTTCTGTAAATAGTCTTTAAATTTCTTCCAGTCTTCTTTCACCGACTCTTCTCTCTGGTCTCGGATTCTGCCAGTCATTTCCGCCAGTTCCATGTAGTTGATCACCTTCATCTGCCATTCTTCCAGAGTGGGTAGATCTTGTGTCTTCCAATATTTTGCGATGAGTATTCTTGCTGCTGTTGTGGCATACATAAAAAAGGTTCTATCCTTCTTTGGCACCAATTGGCCGACAATGCCCAGAAGAAAGGCCTCTGGTATTTTCAAGAAGGTATATTTAAATACCTTTTTCAATTCATTATATATCATTTCCCAGAAAGCCTTAATCTTTGGGCACGTCCACCAAAGGTGAAAGAATGTACCTTCAGTTTCTTTACATTTCCAACATTTATTATCGGGCAAATGATAGATTTTTGCAAGCTTGACTGGGGTCATGTACCACCTGTATATCATTTTCATAATATTCTCTCTTAAGGCATTACATGCCGTAAACTTCATACCTGTGGTCCATAACTGTTCCCAGTCAGCAAACATAATATTATGTCCAACATCTTGTGCCCATTTAATCATCGCAGATTTCACCGTTTCATCCTGAGTATTCCATTTCAACAGGAAGTTATACATTCTTGACAGATTCTTAGTTTTGGGTTCTAGCAGTTCTGTTTCTAATTTTGACTTTTCCACCTGGAAGCCAATTTTCTTATCCAAATTATATGCCTCCATTATCTGATAGTAATGAAGCCAATCTCTCACTTTGTTTTTTAGTTTTTCGAAACTCTGCAATCTCAATTTATCTCCTTCTTGTTCCAAAGTTTCCCAATATGTTGGCCATTTGGCCTCCATATTGAGCCTTTTCAGAGCTTTTGCTTCCATTGGTGACAGCCACCTTGGGGTTTTATTTTCCAATAAATCTTTATATCTTATCCAGACATTAAACAATGCTTTCCTGACAATATGATTTTTGAATGCTTTGTGTGCTTTGACCTTATCATACCATAAGTATGCATGCCATCCAAATACATTGTTAAAACCTTCTAAATCCAAAATGTCTGTGTTTTCAAGAAGTAGCCATTCTTTCAACCAGCAAAAAGCTGCTGATTCATAGTAAAGTTTAAAGTCTGGCAGGGCAAATCCACCTCTTTCCTTGGCATCAGTTAATATCTTAAATTTTATTCTGGGCTTCTTGCCCTGCCAGACAAATCTAGAAATATCTCTCTGCCACTTCTTGAAACAGTCCATCTTGTCCACAATTTGCAAAGTTTGAAACAAAAACAACATTCTAGGCAATACATTCATCTTTATCGCAGCAATACGGCCCAGCAGTGAAAGCTTCAAATTTGACCATATTTCTAAATCTTTTTTCACTTCGGTCCAACATTTTTCATAATTATCTTTAAATAAGTTCCCATTTTTCGCTGTCATATTAATCCCCAAATATTTCACTTTCTTAACCACAGTCAATCCTGTCTCATTCTGAAACCTCTCTCTTTCAATCGGTGTTAAATTTTTCTCTAAAACCTTAGTTTTTAGCTTATTCAATTTAAAACCTGCCACCTGACCAAATTCTTGAATTAATTCTAAAACTCTTTTAGTGCTAGATTCTGGCTCCTGTAACGTCAATACTAAGTCATCTGCAAATGCTCTCAGTTTGTACTGTTTAGCTCCGACCTATATACCTTTAACCAACCGGTCCTTTCTAATCATGTTTAGCAGAACCTCCAGGACCGATATAAAAAGCAGTGGGCAAATTGGGCACCCCTGTTGTGTCCCTTTTTCTATCTTAAATTCTTCCGTGGCCACATTATTTACAATTAATTTGGCCTTTTGTTCAGAATATATTGCACCTATACCATTTTCAAAACCTTGGCCTACCCCCATCCCATGTAAGTTCTTCTTCATAAAACTCCAAGAGATATTGTCAAAGGCTTTCTCCGCGTCCACAAATATCAAAGCTGCTTTGGTATTTATATTCACTTCTAATTTTTCCAGGATATCAATTATATTCCTCAAATTGTCAGACAAATGTCTCCCCGGGAGAAAGCACGCTTGATCTTTATGGATCTCTTCCATCAATACTTTTTTCAATCTCTTGGCCAAAATATCAGCAAAAATTTTGTAATCCACATTAAGTAACGATATAGGGCGGTAGTTCTTAAGCTGGGTCTTTTCAGTCTCTGTTTTCGGTATAAGTGTAATATACGTCTCTTTCCACGACTCTGGCGCCCTTTTCCCTTCCAATATTTCATTGCAGACTTCCTTCAAAGGTTGCAATAACCACTCTTTCAGAGATCTATAGTATCTGGAAGTCAGCCCATCCGGTCCTGGAGATTTGCCCAGTTGCATATTTTGTATGGCACCTTCTACTTCCTGTTCAGATATTTTATAGTTCAACATTAATTTACTTTCTTGAGAGATTTTTTGTAGGCCATTTGTCTTCAAAAATTGGTCTATGTCCATTTCCTTCTGTGGCCCTTGTGTGTATAATTGTTTAAAGTACCTCTGGAAGCAATTTCTGATCTCAATTGGGTTATGTATACTCTTTCCTTCCACTTCTAAGTTTGTAATGGTATTTAATTTTTGTCTTTTTTTCATTTGCCAGGCCAACAATTTCCCGCATTTGTTAGCTGATTCAAATGTTTTTTGTCTCATTTGTTTAATTTTCCATTCTATTTCCTGATTCATCATTTCCATATATTGTACTTGATATAATTTTATTTCTCTCAAAATCTCCTGGGACTTTGGTTTTGCTCTCAATTTCTTCTCGCCCTCTTTTATTTTCTCAGATCTCTCTTGTCAAGATCATCCAGTCCCACTCCCCTACCTGCACTTGGGGGTGGGGTTTTTCCCCCTGCAGATTAACGTTTGCAAGACAGATCACATTATGCTACCAAAAAAAAGAAGGTTGCATGTTCTCTTTGACTAAGGAGCTAGCAGAGCCCTAGCTAGGTGATCTTGCGCCCCTAGCAGAACTGTCCAAATTGCGCCCCCTAGCCGCTGACAAATTAGCTCTTCTTTCCGCCCCTCCTCCAAACCTCCCCCCCCCCATTCAATTCACCCTCTATTTAAAACCTTTTCTTATAAGGCAATAATCAATATTCTTATTTACGGACATATTTTTAGCCAATTTTGCGCCCCCCTCTCACCTGTGCCCCTGGGAGGGGCCCACCTGGCCACCCTCTAGCTATGGCCCTGGGAGCCAGAACTCCATTGTTGCTTGAAAGCTTAAAATTAAAAGGGAGAGAGAGATGTTTGGGATAAAGTATCTGTTTGCTGTGGGAAACACAGAAGTGAAGAGAACACACACACACACGGTTTACCATTTTAATATCCTCCATTGCGAATGGCAGAGTCTGCAGACTTTGCTTTGGAGGCCAACATGGAATTGTTCACTCCCGTCTATTCCATGCAGCCTAGTCTGTAAGCTCCTTAGGAAAGCTTAGCATTTTGCATACCAAAATAGTTGTCTGCTTTCCATGGTGCACTCAGTAAGGAACTTTGCTTGGGTTTTACAAAATCATTAGCACAATGTCCGTCATTAGGGTGGGCAGGGGCGGCCAGAGGCCAAGAAGTTGCAAGGATCCCGGGAGGGGGAGACCAGTGTGCCTCTTTGTTCTGCACAGAGAGACACACTGCACTGCCCATCTCAACTCTCTGGTGAGGCCCTTCTCCATGGCTAGCTCAGCCACTCAATGTTTGGGGCAAAGGCCCAATAAAACACTGCATGATGTTTTCATAGGAGTGAAGTAATGATGGATATTAATTAAGGGGCAAAGATAAAACCAGTCATCTGCTCTTGTTGTCCTCATGTGTTAGACAACTGCTTTTTACTGTTGTAAATCCAAGATCCACAATTGGAGGCAGCGATGCTTCTATATACCAGTTACTGGAACCCACAGGAGGGAAAAGGGCTCTTGACCTTAGATCCTGTTTGTGGGTTTTCCTTTGGGGTATCTGATTGGCCACTGTGAGAACAGAGTGCTGGACTATATGGACAATAGGCCTCATCCAGCAGGTTCTGATTCCCTGAGACTGATGCTTTACCTATTTTGTTTGTCAGAATTAACGAAAGGACGAGCTATTGGTTTCTACTAAGGATTGAGATCCAAATCTTATGTTCCTGTAATTTCAGGCGCAGCTCCCTCCATAGTGGTTAGAATTGGATTGAAATTGTTGATATCATAATCTATGGTGTGATCACACTTGGAATACTGTGTACAGTTCTGGTTGCCTCACCTCAAAAGGGACATGGTGGAGCTGGAATAGGTTCAGAAAAGACCGATCAAAATGATCAAGACGAAGGAGCAACATTTGGGGCTGTTTGGTCGAGGAAGGAGAGGTATAAAGGGACACGAGGGAGGAGAGAATAAAGGGACACGATAGAAGGGCATTAAGATATGGATTCCATGTGGAAAGTGGACAGAGAGGTATTTTTCTTCCTCTCCAATTATATTAGAATTTGTGGGTATCCAGTGAAAATGAATGCCGGAAGATTCAGGACTGATAAAAGAAAGTGCTTCTTGACACAACACATAGTTAAACTATGGAAATGTCTCCCACTAGGGTCAGTGGGATGGCCACCAACAGAGATGGCTGTAATAGCGGATTAGATAAATTCATGCAGGAGAGGGATATTGATGGCTATGTTTTCCTGCACTGTTGGAGAAAGTTCTTGTTGGCATCCGTCTGTCTCAAGCATAGCAGCCAACTCCTAGGGGCCATGGGGGATTTAGCCCCCACAATAAAATATCTGAGGGGACCGGCCCCCCACAAAGTTGACGGGCATTCCCATTCAAATGGTGTGTGCGCACTGCGTCATGCAATCAATTATGCAGGGCTGGGTTTGCCTGGGCCCCCACAATATTTTATTCAAGTTGGCACCCCTGGTCTCAAGAGACAATGGAGTACACTTCTAGGGGTGAAAAACCGCTGTGTTAGCCGCATCAAAGTGACCTCCCCGGGGCACAAACCTGGGCGGTGTGTATAGACAGAGGTCCTGGGCTGCCCAAACGACAGGACCCCTCCTCAGTCTCACTAATATGGTCCAAAGGAAAGGCAGAGCAATACATTTGGCACCAGCTTGGCTGCAGGAGTTGCCAGAAGGAGGTGTACAAGGTGCCATCCAATTGCCTTTGTGACTCCATTCCACATTTGTGTAGAGTTTACTCCTTAGCCTTTTCTTTTCCTGAAGATATCCTGCAAGGTTTAGGATCGGAGTTTTCCTTTTCCTTAGATGGGCTACCTCCCCAGGTGGATGAGTCCCATCTCCCCTCACTTCCCTCTACAGCACATGCAGAAACCGCCTTTTTGAATGTTGGACCCATTCTTGGCCCCGTCCACTCAATCCGCCGGAGTCTGTCTCCACATGCAGGGCAAATCCCTAACTCACTGAGGGTTTCAGACCAATCTGCTCCCCTCACCTGCTTAGCTGGCCAGTCGAGGCTGTTCCCAGGTGTGGCTGCTGTCACATGCAGACAGCTTCTAGAGCCACAGGTGAAAACTGAGTGCAGGGTGGGGACCAAAGGTGGACAAACTATCCTAGAAGGAGCATGATGTGTCCCCTAACACCTTTGAATATCACCGGTGGGAAACCGGGGGGGGGGAGTGCTGTTGTGCTCAAACCCTACTTTTAGGCTTCCCGCTGAGTCACCTGGTTGGCCACTGGGGACAGGATGGTGGACTAGATGGGCCCCCTTTGCCTCTCTTCTCGTGTTCTTTACTTCCTGTTTTCTCCGCAATTCCTGAAGTGGAGCACAGAGAGAGCTTGCACATCTCACTGAAGATGTTGCAGAGCAGCACAGAGATGGAGAAGCACAAGGCATTGGAGCTTTCCACCCTCTCTGCCTCTGGTAATGTAGTAACCAATCCCTCCTTCCCCAACCTGGTGCCCCCCAGATGCTATAGACTACAGCTCCCATCAGCTTGTTGGCTGGGAGGACACCAAGTTAGTGAAGGCTGACCCAAGCCATGCTGAACAGAAGCAATTTCTCACATATGTGAAACAAATAGGCCAGCTGATTCAGCCAATTTTAAATTTCCCAGATCCATAGGCATATCAAAATAAAATTATTTTATCAAAGCACCTGTTTTTCTTGTGGCATTGTCAAAGGCGCTTCCTCAGAATAGTTTGCAGCAGGCGTTGTCATGTTTAACATTTCTGGCTGTGAAGGGATTACATATACTTTTAAAAGGTCCTGTTGTTTTCCATCTTCTCTACCTCACTCCTCTCACTACACCCCCCCCCCGGCACCAACAGGCCCACCTCTTCTGAGGCATCGCGTTTATTTGGTAAGTTCACGTCATGAGAGCTGAGGGCAAAGGAAAGGGCTTCCTATGCCCTGTAATCTGCTCAGTAAGCTGTGGAGTTTAACTAAACAGGGTGGATAAAATAAGTCTGAGGGTCTTGTTTTTTGCTGCTGCTGCATTTTGGTTGGGGTTTTTTTGGGTGGGAGGGAGGGTTGTGTGTAGTGCTGTGAATATTTCTTCAGCCAGGAAAAAAATGGGGGACAGATTCCAAACATTTCCAGGTAGGAAATCATTTCACATATTTTCAATATCTTGGGGTCTGGAAAGCCCTTTGGCTTTCACTTGAGAGTTTTTTGTAGTCTGCCTTGTGGTCTTGTTGAAGGTTTTGTTACCATCTAAGGGACACCTGCGTAGGAGTCTTGATTTGCCTTTTCATCTCTTTACAGCCCAAGGGGAGGTTGGGTACTGGATCTGACACTCCCAAAGGAACAAATTTGGATTGTGGATGGCAACCCCAGGGGTTGTGGCGCAACCAAATTCTTTCCCCTTAGACAGGTGTCTAAATGTAAGATGAAAGAGCATTTTGGAAACTGTGGTGGCTGAAATGGTGCACTGTCCACTCAGAGGAGAGGCACCGAAAAGAATGTGATAGACAACTACTCCATGTAAAGCTACATGGATGCCTAAGCAAGTGTTGTGCATAAAGGTCAGAGGTAGAAGGACTGGTGTTTTAAATCATCATTTCTATTCATACTGTGATTTCAGGTGTGCATTTCTTGCCTTTGGCATTTGGATTTGCTGCTGTCTTTTCTTCCCCTCTATCTGATAGCCCCCATATGTTCTTCTTCAAAAGAGTCTAGGAATCTTTTTTTTAAAAAAAAAAGAAGTACAAAAATTCTGTGTCTAGTTTGATTTGAAGCAAAGGAAACCAGGTGTCTGTCTTTATGAGTGATGGAAAGCAGTTATACTGCTAGAACATGTCATCAGCTGTTAATGAGGAGGGAGATTGAGATATTTTGTGTCTATATCCTCTCTTGTGGTTTAGCTAGAGCTGAAATTTTTTGATTCTATGGTACAATTTGCTGTGCAGCCTTCATCTGCCATACATATCTGTTTCTTCTTATGCAAAGATTTATGTGATATAATTAGCTAGTCCTGAGGGGTAGCTAATGCATTTGGGTCTGAGATTTAGTAGGCAGAAGCCTGTTTTATCAGATGCATGAAGCTGGCAGAAAAGGTAGTGGCTATATAAATGCATGAGCTGAGATACAGGGTAAGGAAAAGCAAGTAAAAAATAAATAAACTGTGATCTGATACTAGAGGCATGAGACATGTAAGCCATGCATGTGTGCTGGAACTTCAAAATACCTAAGAAGCAGTTCTGATAACATCAAATGAAGGACAACTGGGGGGGGGGGGCGGTTGTAGTGTGAGCCTTGTACATTTGCACCATGAAATAGAGTGTTACTGAATTCCAGGACCAAAGCATCTCCCTCCCAAATTCCCCTGGCATCTTTTGTGTTGAAGTATCAAAGGCCCTCAGAGTCTCCCAGTAGACCAGACTGCTTTCTGCATGCTCTCTTTCTTTCAACCAGCCTTCCCTAACATAAAGTCTAAATAAACATAGCAGTTACAAGATCTCTCCATTTGCAGAAGCAATGGTAATGCATAAAACCTTCCTATAACTTCCATCCTCCCCAAAATATGCATCCAAATCACTGTGGGGTCTGTATCTGAGACTGAGGTACTGCTTGCTGCTCATACCAGTGACAGGCTGTCTTGGGGCGTGAATACCCGTGTGCCACTCCAACAAATATACGGTATCTTCTTAATCATGCAAGAGAGTACAGTGGTACCTCGGGTTAAAAACTTAATTCATTCTGGAGGTCTGTTCTTAACCTGAAATTGTTCTTAACCTGAAGCACCACTTTAGCTAATGGGGCCTCCTGCTGCTGCTGCGCCGCCGCTACACGATTTCTGTTCTCATCCTGAAGCAAAGTTCTTAACCCAAGGTAATATTTCTGGGTTAGCGGAGTCTGTAACCTGAAGCGTATGTAACCCGAGGTACCACTGTAGCTGTAAAGCAGGGGTGACTACTAGCTCCTAGCCCTCTGGGACAATTTCACTGGCCCACAGAGCCCCCACCAGTTTTTCTGGCAATGGCAATATGAGGAGAAATATTGAAAAACACCACAGTGCTGAGGTGAGCAAATCACCCCTCCTCATTCCTCAGATTGAGCACCTGATGAGCAGAAGGGGGGGGGGACACCTCCACGGATCAGCAGAGGAGTGAGAGGGGGGTCTGTGTGTAGGTATCTGCCTCTGTGCGTACATGTCCCATGTACATGTGAGAGTGCACATGAGAAATTGTGGCCCCCAGAGAAGAATGTAACCCTTAGGCCCCAAAATACTAGCCCCCGCTGCCTTAAATATGTGAGCATCTGAGGCACTTTTGAAATATAATGTCTTTAGATATAAGCATAATCAATGTTTAAGGGTTTTTTTTTAACCCACCAATCCATAGTTGTTCTATTGAATCAGAGCTTCAAAAGATTTAACCTGCTTCTTTTGGAATCCTCCTTTTAAGATGGAAGACACCCCCATCGCCCAACTGGAGCAATCAAAAATGGATTGTGTTTTGCAGACCTTCTGGTTCCTTCGGTGATAGAGTTTAAAGCTTCTCCCCCCCCCCCCCCCCGTCTTCCAGGTGTGTTTTATACTTGGCAAACACAGCTAGGCTTCAGTGCCTTTGTTGGTTTGACTGCAAAGAAAGAAAGGTCTTGTAGGTGAATGAGCACTAAGAATTTGCCCTGGCTGTTCTGTTTCCTGCCCTCCACAGCCACTCTCTCCGCTTTCGCAAATGACTCTTTGTCTGCACCAGTGACCTCAATCAGAAACCCAACACAAGCAGGTTTAGAGAGAGGAAAGACCTGTAAAACGACCCTAAGATCATCCATTCACACAATATTGAATGATGGAGTTTCCTCCAGGCGGATAGAATGCCTCATGGATCCCAGCAAAAGCTGAATGCAGCCGAGGTTACGTGTTGCCCATAGACAGATCGGCTTAGGCCTTAAGCTGGGGAAATGGGAAAGGAAAGAAAAAAACCCTTATTTTCTATTTAAATGTCCTCCTTTGTTTTCTGTTTGTTTCTGTGACTGGTAGTTTTGCTGTGATGTTTTTTAATTATTATTTTGGGTTTTGTTTTTCTAATGCAGTAGCACACAGTTGAAATGAACAAGCAGCTAATAGGCCAGTTAACTGGTTAAGCTTCTGGAGCGGATGCAAAGTGGGGGGGGGCCCTTCATTTTTTTCTTTTTTTAAAGCAGACACATAGAATTGTAGAGTTGGAAGGTTCTAGGTCCTGGTGACTCTGTGCTTCCTCCAGAGTCAGAAACAGTAACCCTTTGAATGCCAGTTGCTGGGGAACAGTAGCAGGAAAGAGCTGCTGCCCTCATGCGCTCCTGCTCTGTGGCTCCCAGGGGGCCACTGTGGAAAGCCAGATGGGGGAGCAGAGCTGTCCTTAGGATCTTAATCCCCCTCCCATCCCCACAGCCTCGTTGTTTTAGTATTTAATAATGGCTGCGTATTGTGCACCCTTTGGCACCATGGAAACATGATTTCTAAATTTTAAATAAATGAATATGGAAATGAATAAATGAATAAGAAATCAATTGTACAGGGAGATAATTTTGCAAATCCAAGAATCTCTCATTCCCAGGAAAGATCTGCTGGTCTCCTGGGATATCTTAATGAACCATTAAAAAGGGAAAACTTTTTTATTATCATTTGCTTGTGCTGTACCAGAAACATTCAGATTGATTGACTGATCACTTTTATATCCAGCCTTTACTCTTTCTCCCTTTCTCTTTCTCTTTCTCTTTCTCTCACCTCAAGAAAGCATCACTTTAAATGAGAACACCTTAATCAAAAATGAATGTGCCACCAAACATTTGACATGGACATTTGCATGGCTGTTCTCCATGAGCCAGTCATGTGGCTCTCCTTTGGAAGGGAATCCAATAAGTAAAATTCTGCACAGGAAGGTTTGGAGGAAGTCTTGGATGCAAAGAATCAGAATCGCAATTCTCCATAAGTGATTATTGTCACATACTCTAAAATGGGATACACGTTTTAAAAATGTGCAGAATGCAGCTGCAACAGATTTGAGGGGAACAGTATACTACAGACAGATCATATAATCCCTATCTGGTATGAACTGTTCTGGCTGCCAATTCAATACTGAAATCAATTCAATGGGTTTTCCTTTCCATGGAAAGCCCTGAACAGTTTAGGAGCCAGATTCTTGAAGGAGCCCCTCCACCTATATATGCCGGCTTGGGCCTCACATTCTGCAGGAGAGATCCTTCTCAAGTGGGATGGGGCTCCTCTGTGACAGTGCCCTGGTAGTCCCACTCCTTTCTCCCAGGGGAAACTGCTCTTTAGCGCTCAGTCAGAGCAAACAGCCATTCGAGTTTGGGCAGGACTGGTGTTTGCTCTGATTTAGAGATAAAGAGCAGGTTTTCCCTGGGAAAGGGGCAGCATCAAGGGAAAACGACTCAGCCCCGTGCTTTCTAGACGTGGGACAAACAGAATTGTGGGTGAGCCCTTAGTTGGTTAAAGTGCCATTGGTAGGTTAATTTCAGCACCACTTCTCTAGTTTGGGAATATATGTTTCTTAAAGGAGCTTCACTCCATATAGCGTTCCACACATTTTCTGCTATTGGGAACTTTATGTCCTGCACCAAAACCTCTTGCCAGCATGCCTGTGGAACAGACGGTAATCTTTTCACTGTTTTTATTCACTGTGGGCTCATCCACACTTCTGCTTTCCCGTGCCTAGAGAGGTTTTCCACTTGTCTCATGCTTTCTAGTCATGGATTCGAATGGTTTTCTGTTTGCTCCACTCCTTTCCCTGGGAAAACCTGCTCTTTACTGCTGACTTGGAGCAAACATCAGTCTGTGGAAAACACAATGGACATTTGCACCGATTCGAGGATGAAGTGGGAAAGCAGCAGTACAAGTGGAAGTGTGGGCAAGCCCTGTGATGCTGCTATAGGCCAAATGCAGCCTTCCAAGCCTCTCTGTCCAGCTCATTGGACTATCCCCAAACCATCCGCCCTCCACAACCTTATCCCCGCTCCTCAGGCCACGCCCCTCACCTGCCCTGCTTCACATCCTTCTTGAGTGTTTTTGCCTGGATAGAACTCTAATAATTCCTCTTTGTTTCCTGAATAGCAAGTGTGTGGGCAAACTAGTCTACTGTACGGAGGTAACAAGTGGGCGTGATCATCCCACACTCTCCCCCAAACACTACCACACACCCAGGCACCCTCTCGTCTGATGATCCATGCAGATTGAATGAGCACGGGGCTGTATCACCCCCTCTTTCTGCTCATCAAATGTTCAATCTGATGAGTGACTAGGAGATGATTTGTTACCCACAGCAACATGTGTCTTCTTCAAATTATCCCCCCACCCCCCACCACCGTTTGCCACCGTCATCAAAATCGGTGATGGCAAAAAATTAGGCCCCCTAGCTTGTAAACCCCTGAACTAGATGAACTTTGAAGTTGCTTCCGGCTCTGTGATTCTATGATAATCAGTTTGATGAATCAATTGCTTTTGCTTAAATATATTTCCATCACTTCTTTTTTTTAAGTCATCAGTTAGAATCATAGAATCATAGAGTTGGAAGAGACCACAAGGGCCATCGAGTCCAACCCCCTGCCAAGCAGGAAACACCATCAGAGCACTCCTGACATATGGTTGTCAAGCCTCTGCTTAAAGACCTCCAAAGAAGGAGACTCCACCACACTCCTTGGCAGCAAATTCCACTGTCGAACAGCTCTTACTGTCAGGAAGTTCTTCCTAATGTTTAGGTGGAATCTTCTTTCTTGTAATGCAAGAACTCACAAAAACTAAAAATTGCAGGCATTCCCTTTTCTTGCAGTGTAATACTGGCATACAGAATCGGAAACCAGTGCTTTTCTCCCAAACTATGGTTTGATTCATATTCACACTTATATTATACAGGTTTAATTTATCTAAACATTTATGATTAATGACTATAGTCTCCCCCCCCCCCCCGATTGGCACACTCATAACTCGTAAGTGCATAAGAAGGAGCCTCCTGGATCAGGCCCATGGCCCATCTCGTCCAGCATCCTGTTCTGGACTAACCAGTTGTGGCCAACGAGATGCCTCTTATGGGGAGCCAGTAAACAGGATCTGTGCTCAAGTGCATTCTCCCTTCCTGTGGTTTCCAGCAATTGATGCTGTGGAGGCACAGCATAACTGTTATGGCTAGTAGATAATAATAATAATAATAATAATAATAATAATAATAATAATAATAATAATAATAATTTATTATTTATACCCTGCCCATCTGTCTGAGTTTCCCCAGCCACTCTGGGCGGCTCCCAATTGAGTGTTAAAAGCAATACAGCATTAAATATTAAAAACTTCCCTAAACAGGGATTGCCTTCAGATGTCTTTTAAAGAGAAGATAGCTGTTTATTTCCTTCACATCTGATGGGAGGGTGTTCCACAGGGCGGGCACGACTAGCGAGAAGGCCCTCTGCCTGGTTCCCTGCAACCTCACTTCTCGCAGTGAGGGAACCGCCAGAAGGCCCCCGGTGTTGGACCTTAGTGTCTTGGCTGAATGATGGGGTGAACCTGTTCCTTCAGGTATACTGGACTGAGGCCGTTTATGGCTTTAAAGGTCAGCACCAATTGTGCTTGGAAACATACCCCTCTTCTCCATGAATTTGTCTAATCTTCTTCTATAGCCATCCGAGTTGGTGGCCATCACTGCCTCCTGTGGGAGTGAGTTCCACAGGTAATATCAGGTACTATTGGGAAAGTGCACATCCCAAGAGGTTTCCATTCAGGACCCCTTGCCATATCGCTGGAGATGCCAAGGTATAACTCCTCAACTGCTTGCACTCCCAGAGTTTTGCCCCACCAGCCTCTGCATAATTGCAGAATTGCTTGCATAATCTGGGGCAGCCACTTGAGACTGCCGTGGGCACCACCGCCCACGTGAAGCAGACAGGCTCTCCAACTTTAAAAACTATGTGGGACCTTTTCATGTTCTTACAGTGGTAACATTTGTAGTGACATTTCCAGATCATTAGCAAGCTGTGAACTGAGCAAACTCAGACCCAGAATTGTTGCTGCAGAGGAAGGAAGCTGCCTTATAAGGCAGACCCTTGATTCACCTAGCTTGGCTTTATCAGCACGGCTTCTAAGGACCTCTCCCAGCTCTACTGAGAGACGCTGCTGATTGAACCTGCGACCTTTGCATGCCAAGCGGGTGCCACAAGCAACTCTTCTCCTAACACCAAGCTTTGGGTTGTTTTGTTAACATCAACATCTTAACCCCAAAGACCCTTTGTCCCACCTTGGGTGCTTTTGTGATGGAAACCCTAAACCAGAAATAAATTTGCCAAGGCTTTGAAGTCCACTAAGCACTTGACGATATCACCTTCATTCCAGTAGTTTGGCTTCAAGGTTCTTAGCAAGTAAATCAGGCTAATCTATAGTAATAGCGAACATCCTATTCTTTTGGGGCCATTGTGATTCTTTTGGCAGAAAACAGGAACATTCTCCAGGAGGGAAAGCAAGTTGCACTTAGCACACATTTGCCGCATTAGGATTTCATCTTATGACCACACACACATATATATACATATATACACGCTGAAACACAAAAATGCTCGCTGTTTGTACCCAGTGTGAAAGAACAAGCTGGAGGATTTTGAGCACAGACATTTTTATAACCAGATTAACTTCTAACACATTAAAGCTAACTTTATTGTAAGCAGATAGTGCTCACCTGAGATCCACCACATGGCACCACGGCATTCAGGCATGATCAGGCCACTTCCTGGTGAAGTTTGGACTGTGTGCAGCAGACCCACCTTGCCGTGATGGGGAACTGAGTCAGTTGGTCTGCCCCTGGAGTCTCATGTTACATCTCTGAATACTCGGGGCGGGCCAGGGGTGTTCCAGAGAGACTCTGTTTCGCTGTGAGGAGGTGAGGTGAGGAGAGCTATTGACCCACTCTCTCCTGAGAGTCCACCTGTATTGCATCCTCGATGAGCAATCCAGTAGAGTTGTTCCAGGTGGTCCAAAGGCTAGCCATAGCAGAAGTGATGGGTGACCTTCTGGAGCACTCAGCACCAGTTTGCATGGCACTCAGTGGATTAAAAAGTTGCTCAGCTCCATAGTGCCGTGCAAATCTTGCAAATTCAGTCAAGGTTCCAGTACTGTGCCTTCCCATATTTTATGAGGTCTGTTTCAGTATATATAGCCTGATGGTGCCAAGAAGACACCTGCAATGATGTAACCAGCTTTCTCACTTGATCCTTGTCCATCCTGCCTGGTGAAACCCAGTCTGAGCAGGTTGACCAGGTGGGTCCAGGGTGTGGTGATCGGCACCCACTGCAATGGAACAGCACCTGCTTCCCTTAAAAAGGCAGTAATGCACCCACTTCTGAAAAAAGCCCCCCCCCCCCGGGACCCTGGGGTTTGTAACAACTACTGCCTAGTCACAAGAGCAGCTGGGGGTGTGGGGGAATGAGCTTTGGAGAAATAATCCACATCATCTTTGCTTGTCTGTGGGACAACTCATGGTTTGCTGAAGAAACTTGTGGGTAATGGGTGCATTAGCCTCCCACTTGAAATGCTGGTGATGTTAGAACTCAAGCCTGTCTTCCAACATCAATATTCGCAGTTCCTTTATTTTCTGAATTTGTTTTTATGCCCATACACACATGTAGTCTATGAACACACACTAGCTAATGGGATAAGGCCGTCCTGCCTGCTGCCTTGCATGCCGCCAAAGATCTAAAAACCATGTGAGCGTGGAGATTTAGAAGAAAATCTGCCAAGCTTGTTCTCCGCAAGCAGCGCTGAGTGGGGCAGTCGAGCAGCCAGGAGCTTCCTTCACCCTTCCAGTTCCTTCACAGGGAGGCCAATTGCACACCATGCATTTAAAGCACAAAGAGTCCTGGGAACTGCCCTTCAACCCTCACAGGTCTACCTGTTTTGCATGCGTTTGTCATTTAAATTTATTCATTATTTAAATTTGTGTGCTGCTTTTCCATACAGGTATGCTCGAAGCAAATCACAACAACAAAAAATACAAGCAATACAAGAACAAACGAATACTAAATCATTTTGAAATGTAACATGACAGTCCAACAAACAGATCGGTTAGAATATGTGAACTTTATAACATTTTAAAGTCATTGTAAAACAAACTAAGCATTGAAACATATCAATTAATGGCAAATATAATGTAAATATATGTCTTTTCTGTCCAATTTTTGCATCAGTCTTCGATTTTAAAATATCTGTACAAAATATTCATACTTAGATATGTACTTTAAAACACTTTTCATCATAATTATGGGGTGGGGGTATACCCTCATTTGTTCTTCCAAAATGTTGCGGGATATGCTACGACTTAATGTGAGTCAACAACATGAGACAGCAGCAAAAAAGGCTAATGCAGTTCTAGGTTGCATCAACAGAAGTAGTGTCCTGATCAACGGAAGTCATAGTCCTGCTCTCTTCTGCCTTCATCAGAGCCCACCTGGAATACTGTGTCCAGTTCTAGGTGCCACAGTTTAAGAAGGATGTTGACAAGCTGGAATGGAGGCTGGGGGTTGGACTAGGTGACTCTTGGGGTCCCTTCCAACTCTGCAATTCTGTGATTCTAACTTCCACCATCCCTGATTGTTCTAGTTTGGAATTGTAGTTTAGCAACATCCAGAAGGCCAAAGTTTCTCCACACCTGCAAAATACCTTTAAAGCACATTCTTTCCCTCAGAGAGTTCTGAGGCCGATGGTTTGTTAAGGGTTTGGGGGAACTGTAACTCTATGAGGGCTAAACTATCAGGCCCAGAAATTATTGGAGGGAAAGGAATGTGTTTTGAATGAGCTTTAAAGGCATGGTGTACAAACAGCCCAAGTATTAAAGACTTCTCAGGTACTCATTTCCCTTTGTCAGTTGTTACAAGGAAATTGAAGAAGGAAAGGAGAGAGAGAGCGGAGGGAGATGGGGGTGCCGAGGAGAGAAAAAACTGAGGGCCTATCAACAGTAAAATCTTAGAGCAAGTTGTTGTTGTTGTTGTTGTTGAAATTTATATACTGCCCTTCATAAAAAGATCTCAGGGCAGTTTACAAGTGGTTCAATCCACCAAACTCTCAAGGAAATCTGGGGACTGTTGTTTATTTAATAAAGGTGCTGGGAACCTGCCTTTCAGCAGTCACACAAGGCTCTGTCAGGTTATTTCAGAGACGGTGCCAAGCCAAATTGGTTGCTTAGCCAAGGAACAGCTTCTTCTTTTTAGTTTTTATTAAAGTTTTGTTTTGTTTTGTTTTGTTACAATAAAAATAGCTAAACACGGAAAGGTACATTTGTTGTCTCCACTTTCAGTTTGTATGCTTTTCAGAGTTTGATTGCATTTAGTGATTTACATTTATCTATTTTGTCGTATACATCTTGCATGAGGGAAAGGGAGGAGGAAAGAGAGAGTATTGTTCTATTGTCTGTTGCTAGTGTTGGGATTTGTGTCAGTATCACATGGGTAGTCCTTCGTTTATGTACAGTCATACCTTGGGTTGCGAACGCTGTGGGTTGCACAGTACTGGAACGGGTTACTTCCGGGTTTTGGTGCTCGCACATGTGCAGAAGTGCAAAATGATGTCACGCGCATGCACAGAGGTGCCGAATCACGTCACGCGCAGACACAAACACGGCGCTACGGGTTGCAAACGTGCCTCTCGCATGGATCACATTTGCAACCCGAGGTATGACTGTCTTTATTTCTTTTCATTGATACTGCAAGAGGTTGGGGGTCCCAGATTTGTTTGGTTGTGCTCTGTTGATTGCAGTGTGGCTTGTTTGTGTGCGCGGGGGGGGGGGGGGGAATAGGTTGTTGGATGAAGTTAGCCATACTGAGTCATATGCTGTTGGGGAGGAGAGGTCGTGCTGTCTTTTTGTGTGGTGTATGCGATAAAGGGAAGCCATACTGAGATGAAGGTGTCCTCCTTTGCTTATCCCCATGGTATTTTGTGTTTGTTGGTTAACTTCTCTAGCAGGGCGGTTTTCCATACATTTTGGTACCAGTGGTCTATGTTCACTCCTCATAGCTCCTTCCAGTGTCTAGTTATGATATTTCTAGCTGCTGCAAGTAACTTATGAGTTCCTTGTCGTGTGTGTGTGTGTGTGTGTGTGTGTGTGCTGTCCTGGAGTTGCTTCTATTACCTGTTTTGTTATTTTGGAAATTTCCTGCAGCCCTGATATCCAGAAAGATTGAACTTTGTGGCATTTCCACCACATGTGGACGTGTGTGTCTATGGAAGTGCAGTCTCTCCAACATTTAGAGGAGGTTCCTGGGTGTATGAGTGCCATCTTCCATGTTGCTATGTACCATCTATGTATAAGTTTTAGGGTGAGTTCTCTCCCTAAGTAATGTAAGTAATAAATTATTATTATTATTATTACTACTACTACTACTACTACTATTGGCTGAGATGTATTTAAATGGTGGTCTATAGTCTAGACCATTGGGTAGGGTTTAATTCATATCCTATGTCATGCTTCCTTGGTTTTTAATCGTGGTAAGGAGGTTTGTAGAGTCTTGGAGTAGTATTTTATATATTGTAGAGGCCACCCCTCTACTCTGTCCCTCCATTGTTAGGAGGAGCTTCTCAAAGCTAGTCAGTGGCCTGGTGGCTGCTGTTTTTGTAGCTGGGTTGTTTAGGAAGGCTTGTAGTTCGTGCTAGGGTCAGCCAGAGTATTGGAGTGTCCCCTAGTTTATCTTGTATTTCCCGTGTTGATATGGGGTTGTGATATTTGTAAAAGTCGGTAGGCAATATAGGCCTTTAGTTTGACAGGTTTTTATTTGGCTGCTTTGGGATTCTTGGTAGAATAGTGAGTATTGGGCCAGGGGAATTAGTGGCGATGGGAATGGCACCAGTTTTCTTGCTTTTTCCTTCCATGCTTTAAGCATTTATTGTGTGGATCTGTTTAGCGTTGTGGGAATTTTCCTTAGTTTGTTTTGGAGGAATGGATTCACTGTAGAGGGTGGGTGTTTCCAGTTTTATCTATCTTCATGTGCACCCATTGTTTCATTTCGTCTTTGAGGATGTATGGGATTATGTGATGCACTTTGTTGGTCATGTAACAGCCTTATTGCAAAAAGAACAGTCTAGAACAGAACTTTCCAAACTTTTCATGTTGGTGACACACCTTTTATGCATCATTTCGCGACACACTAATTCAGTTTTACTAGTAAACCGGCGGGCTGCCCACTCCGTTTCCAGTCCTGGGTGGGGCATGGAGAGCATTTGTGTGGCACACCTACACACTGCAGCCGATACACTAATGTATCATGACACACAGTTTGGAAAGCTCTGGTCCAGAACAACAGTATGGCTCATGGCCTCAGCTGGACACAGTACCACCTATTGTTGGAAGGACAGTATAACAGTTAAACCTACACCACAACTTACAAAGATTACAGTGGACGCTCGGGTTGCGAACGTGATCTGTGCAGGAAGCACGTTTGCAACCCGCAGACCCACGTCTGCGCACGCACGGGTTGCGATTCAGCGCTTCTGCACAAGCGCCGAAACCCAGAAGTAACCCATTCCGGTACTTTCAGGTTCAGCGCGGTGCACAACCCAAAATTGCGCAACCCGAAGCATCTGTAACCCGAGGTATGACTGTACTGTAATTGGAGGGAAGGTATTGCAGTCAATCCTGCCTTAAATATACTGATGGGAGTTGTAGTCAAAAACAGCTGGAGGCACCAAACTAGGAAAGGCTCTCACTACCACCAAAAGCAGATTAGGTTTGGGTTAGCTCAGCCCCACTGACAAGGTTCAAGGTGGGACCTCCAAAGCGTATATTAGCATTTCACCATAGCTACATTCCTTGCAACAAACCCTACTCTCTTACTTGATCTTTAATTGAAGAACTGAAGGGAGACAGACTTTCTGCTGGACATCAGGCACCTGCCTTGCCCGGCCCTCCAGCCCTAGGAGCCTTTCCCAGACCATGACTTTGAGAATAGCAGAAGCAACTGGAAAGAGAGTAGCTCAGGGATAGTTGAAAATAAATAAATTATAAGTTGTGTGTCCTTGTTTCTCATTTTGATCCTTTTAAATGGTTTTATATGTTTTGTGGTATTTTATGCATTGTGATTTGCTGTGGTTTTTATTGATTATAGATTAGTAATTCTTTATTGTAATTGATAAGTGTAAACTGATTAATTATTACTGGTATTTGCTGATGTTTAATTTTACTGTTTCTATTGGATTCTAATGGATTATTGAATATTGCTTTTTTATAATATTTTATTTTTCCATTCTACAATATTTTAACAACAAAATATAAATATAAACAAATTGAACCTGCTTTTTCTTTTACTTCCCTCCTCCCCTCTGTGTGGTTCCTCATTTTAATTTAGTAATCTTATTGCATAACCAATTCAAACCTATTTACAAATGTAACATTTTTGCTCCCTTAAGTTATTTCTTACTGCTCATGTTTATGTCTATCCTGCTAGTGTTTTTAATTGTTTAAAATTTGTTTTCATATACAACATTATATGTTGTAGTCTTGTTGGAACCGCCCTGAGACCTCCGGGTATAGGGCAGCGTATAAGTTGAATAAATAATAATAATAATACTGAATATGGCTTTATTTGATATAAGTTGTTTATTTTAAAGTTATTGTGACTTTTTATATTGGATCAGATTGTTACTATTAATGTTTGATTTTATTTTTATTATTTTTATGTGTGTTGGAAGCTGCCCAGAGTGACTGGGGCAACCCAGCCAGATGGGCAGGGTATAAATAAAATATCATCACCATCTCTTCTAGATGGTTTTCTAGAGCAACTGAACTGAAAGTTTGGAACATGTGAATAGCACCTGCCTGTCACTGATTATCTTTTCCAATCTTGGCTCAGTGTCTCCAGCTGCTGAACGCCTCCGGTATATACTGGGTGAAGATGACGATCCCCCCAACCCCACCCTGTTCACTGAGATGGACACGCTCCAGCATGATGGAGAAGAAATGGAGTGGAAGGAATCAGCCAGGTATGGAAAAAGCGGGAGGGTTGTAAGCAGCTGCTTCTCTTGGGTGACTCACACATTTTCCTCCTGAGGTATGTGCTCTTGAAGGAAGAAGGCCTTTGCTGGAGGCAGACCATAATTTTTAAGAGAGTAGAACCTGGTTTGAGAGATGCCTTGATTCACAATCATCTTTGCCACGCTGTCACTTCTGGGCAAACTAAAAGCTGCAAAATATTATTTATCAGGGGTAAAAGGATTATTACCTTGTCCAGTGATCCAAAGTGAGTGTTTGGGGTGTGTGGAGAAAGCTATTGAAAGCCTTCAGTCCTAGCCTGTTTCATGTGCTCATTGCTTTCTGTTTTGCAACCAGAACAGAAATTAACACCCCGAAAGCTGGTCCACGCGTAACAGGAAGCCATGGTCAGATTTTGTTGGACCAGCATGGATCCTTCATGGAGGGGAGGGCTATTGAAGGCTACCAGCCAGGACAGTCCTGCTCTGCCTTCATAGCTGGAGGCAGCAATGCTTCTGAAGACCAACTGCTGGAGACCGGGGGGGGGGGTCCTGCCTGCTGGTTTCCCAAAGGCATCTGGTCATCCACTGTAAGATCATGCTACTGAACTCGATGGGCCATTGGCCTGATCTAGAAGGGTCTTCTTATGTTCTTAAATCCATTCTGCTGCTACTGGGCTCAGGCTTGGAGCTGATTTTGAGGGCCGCAGATTGGCCAACCCCCTTTAAGAGTTTCCTTTACCATTTCCTCCCTGCATTCCTGCTCCTGCATGGAGGCTGCAGCCAACTTCAGTGACTTTCCCCTGCCACTACATACACACACTGTTTCCTCCGGTTTCTCCAGTTGGCACCCAATCTCCTCTGGCCATCTCCCGTCCCCGCAAACTTAGAGCTCTCAGAGTGAGATCCTAAGCACATTTACTAAGAAGCAAGCCACAGTGGGGTTTGCTTTCAAGGAAATAGGCTGTTGAGTCTGAATTAAACATTATCTTGGCAGTGTGCAAGTCAGTTCCCTTAGGCCAGCCCCATGCTGAACTGGTAGCATAAATCTGAACTATGTGAATAAGTCACAAGAAAAAGCCACCTTGCTATGAGCCTTATTTGCAGCCAGCAGTTAAAGAGTTAACTTTGCTCTTTTATTGCAAACCAATAAAGTAAACCTTTTAAAAGCCCCATAACTTTTATCAAAGTATTAAAGAGAATGCAAGATGTCCTTACTTTATTGAATTACCAGCTTACTAACTTTTTCACACAAACGAAATCCACATGGAATTTCCTTTTCAGCTGAGGCTTTATAACCAGTCGTTTTTTCATTATTATTATTATTATTTACTAAATTTCACATCCTGAGTTTGAGCAGCAGGGAGGGGAAGAGTCGGGGACTCGAATAGCAGGTTTGAGCCTCGCTGAGCCTCTCAGTGGTGAAGAACAAAGGGATTTGTGGGTGTTTATGCCATGTTTAAATGGGATCAATGCCGTGAGGTCAGGCAGTTAATAAGATAGATTTTGATTAACTCTGTCTCCCTCTGCCCCACATGCCCCGCAGTGGCTCCAAGCTTGCGCCACATAATGACCTTGTCTAATGTGCTCCCTCAGTGCCAGGAGAGACGGGGCAGGCAGAACCTTCATACTTTGGTTTTGTATTCAGAATAGCTCCTGTATATCAGAGCTGCCAAAAGCTGCTTCCCTGTTGTGTGAAAGCAAGAAATATAATGCAGAAATTAAAACTAGGGAAATGTCAGAAAAACAGAACCAACTGCCATACGAATGCAGCCAATAACTCAAAATATCGGAAGGGGAAAAGGCTGCTCCAGAGAACCGAGAAGAGGGGGGGTCCCTGAGGGTACAAAGGGTGACCATCCGCATTCTAGGTAGCTGTGATAATGATTGGTTAAGAAGAATGTCCAGTATGGTTATCAAGGAGAAGGAGGAGATTTTCAAAAGCATGGAGTTTTCTTCCTAGCACACGGGTTAACAATGTCGAGACTCTGTTGGGCGATACTGAAAACCCCCCAGAAAAGGCAACAGCCATGCTCTGGATAAGCACAGCTTGAGTGAGCCCTACATAACAGAAACATCTTAATCCCTGGTTTCTAAGCAGAGCCCGTCCAAGAAAATTTGCTGAGTTAGGCAAAAGGCAAGAGAACATTGTTGGGCTTCTTGGGGGGCTTTCCTATATAGACACTTGGGTGGCCGCTTTGAGAACAGAGTGCTGGACCAGGTGTGCTCTTGGCTTGATCCAGCACGCTCTCCTTATATTCTTGAGAGAGAGAGAGATAGCTCTGCTCTAACAGAGGAGAATATTGTGGGAGAGAAGCTAAGGGCCTGTTACTGCGGCCTCCCAGCGTAACGCTGCTTGAGGTGATCTCCAGAAGGTAGCGCCGTCCTGTCACAGCCGTGCTAGATTTCAGTGAGTCCCAGAAGGTTGTGCTAGCCCCAAGCCCTCTTTGCATTCAAGTTCCACTCACAGACTTCCTGGAGGAATATGAGAACAGGATGCAACACTGGATGAGTCCTTGGCTTGTTACTGCAGTGAGACTCTTCTTACATTATTACGTTCTTTAAAATCACATGTCCCCTATCATGGATCTATCATGACAGGGCAGGATACTGTCCATTGAACATGTGGAGATTAACCCATCAAACACTCATACGTTACTGTTTCCAGGGTGAGAGCACTGTGCATTTCCTGTTCTACAAACAAAATGCCAGTGGCTGAAACTGTTTGAATTTCTGTACTGCTGCCACAGTCCACGAGGATATCTGCTTGCCTCTCTTTGTCAGCATTTTAGCATTGCCAGCTCAGGATTTCCGCTCTCCTTGACTTAGGAATCCAGATCAGGAATTTAGCTGCAGGGTGCCTAGGCTTCGCTTCACATAGTAAAAGGCTGGTACTTTGCAAATGAACCTTTGGCAAGTCAAAATAGGAATTTTCATCCTCAGAGCCCGGCACCAATCAAAATGGCACAGTTGCTTTAAATAGAAAGCTCCCATCCTAAACAATCTAACTTAGGGCTTGGCCGTACCAAAGGCAGATCTAGGAGCCACTGAAATTTGGGGTGCCAAGGCCTGCCACTGGCCACACTTCCCTCTGCACTTTTCAGGCATGTTCTGTGTTTTAAAGCTCCGTGTCTGAGTGTCTTTTTTGCTCTGGAGCTTTCCCTGCAAAAACCCACTATTTAAAGCTGAATTGGAGCAAACAGCATTCTATGGAAAGCCCAAATAAGGCTTGGTTTCCAGACCATTGATCATCTTGGTCGCCCTCCTCTGCACACGTTCCAGCTTGTCAATATCCTTCATAAATTGTGATGCCCAGAACTAGACACAGGACTCCAGGTGGCATCTGACCAAGGCAGAATAGAGTGGGACTATGACTTCCCTCGATGTGGACACTAGACTTCTCTTGATGCAGCCTAGAATAGCATTAGCCTTTTTTGCTGCTTCATCACACTTGATAACAGCTCCCAGTGGCTTCAGAGAGATGGTAAATGGCACCTAAAGATATTTCTGTCAGCTGTGTTAGGACCCACAGTCATGGAGGCTGGTCCATTAGGGCAAATGAGGCACTGGCCACCAAATTTCAGCCAGCCCCTACCCACCTGCCTGTTTCCTTACATCCAGTGCAGCCGAGTGACTCTGCCTGTCATTGGTTCTGACTCCACCTGCTGGTGGTCCCAGCCACCACTTGCCCACAGGCAAGGCAGCCATTGAACTCTGTAGTTCTCCAGCTAGTTGAAAGCTGAGAAACTTTCACAGCCTGCTCTTTGTTCTGGATTAAATTGCAAAGCAGGAGAGTATTTTATGAGCATTTATTAGGGTTATTTTGTTTTGCTCTAATAATTCTGAAGCAATATTATCAAGATAGGCTAAACATTTGCCTCTTTGAATAAAGGGATTTGCACCTTTGGCATGCATACCTGGTACAGAGGAGCGTAGAACCAGTGAGTTGGCCACATATCAAAGCATTCCTGAAGTACATGTGCTTTGAAATGTGTGTGCTGGGGGCGGGGAGAGGGAATGACTTCCCTGCCCTCCTTTGCCTAAAAATGGCACATCAACAGGCAAGAAACATTACAGCTCACTGTAATGGTCCTACTTTCCTGGTTATATACAGTACTGCAATGCTAAGGGGGTAGGGGTGGGGGAGTAAAAAGAGAATATTCATGTCTACATATCCCACTTTTAATTGTTATACTTGTATTGCACACAGAAAGATAATAACAGCCATGTTTAAAATATGTTGCCTTTGACTTGTGGTGCCTTCTTCCACAGATGCTTTGGATCACAACTCATTATGTACTTCTGTGACACTGGTCACTTCCAGACAAACTGTTTTTTGGGCATTCATCCTGCACTGTTTGTACAAAGTTTGCAGGGAAGTTATTCAGCCTTTGTTGTGCAGTCATTCTGATTTCCCCATTTCTGTGCACATGCCTGGCTCCTGTCTTCTGAGGAGAATTTGCAAAGGAAGACTTGATGTTAATTGGTTGCATAGCACAATTCATGTTCGTGATCCTTTACAAATTATGAAAAGGAAGGTCCCTGCTACAAGGTGGTTACAGCCTATGGCCCCCTCTGCAGTATCCATTTAAAGCAGGGTCATATGTACCACTCTGAACTGTCATGGCTTCCCCCAAAGAATCATGGGAACTGTAATCTGTCCAGGGTGGTGAGGGTTTTTAGGAGACCCATATCCCCCCCCCCAATGTCCAGAAGGTTTAACAATCAATCCCTCTTCCCAGAGAACTCAGGGAAGTGCATCTCTGTGAGGTGAATAGGGGTCTCCTGTCAACTCTCAGCACCCTTAACAAACGACAATTCCCTTGATTTTTTGAGGAAAGCCATGGCTGTGGCCAAGTGGCATGAGGATCAGGATTAAATCATATCACTTCCCCACAAAGAAATCAGAATGAACGCTCACTAAAGATGGAAAGATGTCAGATTCTCAATTTACACAGGGAGCTAAAATTTTGGGCCTACCAAAATGGAGCTCTTCTGCTGTTTTATTGATTCTTGTACACCACCCAGAAGATTTTGGTCAACAGGCAATCTAGAAATAAATAAAACTTTAGTCCAGACTTTTGAACATACTGTTTTTAAAAGTACCCCCTCCCTTATGTAGGATCACTTGTAATGACTTCTTTAAAGCAGTAGTTTATAACTGAATGACAGTTGTATGGGGCTCTTCCACATGACCTGTTTATTAAGTGTTCATCCTTATATATAGCCCAACGTGGTTATGTATAGTTATATGACGTTGCTGTTTATTGAGCAGCACTCAATAAACTTGGATTACTTGGATTTGTTTGCATGGAGGTTATATTCATCGCCCAGTATCACCATCATCCCAGACGTTCTAGTGCATTTTCCTGTTACTTTTCATAACATAAAAGCATTGGGGAGTTGTTTCATTTTTGAGAGTGGACTTGTTGCACAGGGGCTCCAAATCCACTTTAATTGCACAGCCTAAATTGGCTGGTGTACAATTTAATTATACGTATCTGCAAATTAGTGACAGTCTGGAAGTGGCCATAAATCGTTAAATGGCACTAGTACCAGCAATGCAACAGACATTTCATTTTGTTTAACAAAAAGATGACTGCCTTGCATTGATTATTTGGTTATTACTATTGGCAACAACAACAACAACAACAACTATAGCAAATACTCTTAAAATACACTGTATGTTTTTGCAGTTTTATCCTGAATGCTGCCAAAAGTGAAAATTTCCCCAACAGCTGCCTTGCCTCTTAACAGAACTTAAGCATGCTGTTCCAAGAGACACTTACTGTGTGATTGCACACACAGATTGCAGACATCTATAATGTTGGTGGCAACCAGCTCAGACCTCACACACTGAGCTTATATGGTAGACTGAAATACAACAATAGGCTTGATTAGCTTACTCCCAAGGGGAGAGGGAGTGCCCTAGCTATGCCTGGCATACTCTATGGCATTAACCCCTTCATGCATTAATAAGACATGTTGGTCATACCACATGTGTATCATTTATGCTGAGCACTAGTAATGTCTCATCTCCTTCATCTTTGTTTCAGGTGGATTAAGTTTGAAGAGAAGGTAGAAGAAGGAGGGGAGAGATGGAGCAAACCACACGTGTCAACCTTATCTTTGCATAGCCTCTTTGAGCTACGCACTTGCCTGCAGACGGGTACCGTGATGCTTGATCTAGATGGCTACTCCTTGCCGCAAATAATAGGTATGAACCTCAAACATGCAACTATAAGCACAATCCACTCAGAAGCTGCTGAGCAAATCAATGAGGCATTCGGAAGTTACTGCTGAGGTTCCTGCATTGCAGGAGGTTTGACTAGATGACCCTGGGTGCCTTCCAACTCTATGATTCTGTAATTCAACCAATAATGAGGGGTGGTGTCAGGACCATCCTATTCTCACCGTGGCCAACCAGGTGCGCCAATGGGAATCCTGCAGGTGGGGCCTGAGAACAGTGGTCCTCTCCCCACTTGTCATTCCCAGCAGCTGATTTTCAGAGTCATTCTGACTCAGACAGTGGAGCTAGAACATAATTGTGGCTATTATTATTTATTAAGCTTACTCGTCTCTATTTTTACAAAAGCAACTCAAAGTGACTCACAACAAGCAGTAGCTATTGATAGCTTTATCATCCATGAATTTGTCTAATCCTCTTTTAAAGCTATCCAGGTTGGTGACCAATGCCATGACTAGTCCAGTGCTTCCCGAAGTGGGCAATACTTCCCCCTGGGGGTGCTGGGACAATCCAAGGGGCTAGTAGCCTGGGTGCAACTGGGGGGCACTGAATAAAAATACAGGGGCGGAAGAAGCATAAAGAAACAAGAGAAGAAAATTTTGAAAACCCGTTCATACATGTTTCATCTATTGTGTAATGACGCTTACCACCAGATCGGGTGCTGTTGCAGGATGGCAAAAAACGCCTCTCCTGGATCCATCGGTCCTGTTAGAGGCGTGGGGTTTGGCCAGGCTTGGGGGAACCCTTTTTGGCTTCCCTCAGGCCCAGGAAGTGGATTGCAGCTTGCCTGCCTATTTGGCCAATGGCAGGCGGATTGGACTGAGCCGGCAGGCTTCACTCCAGTCTGCCCCATGGGTTTTAATAAATAATTTTATAATTTCAAGCTTCAAGGTGCCTTATTTACAACAACATCTTTCTTTACTATGTTGTAGGACATAGGGAGAAACTAGAGATACATAAAAGAACAGAAATTTATCACTTTGTTTGCTTAAAGGAGATTTCCAGGGGGGCACTGAGTATTTTATTTTTTCTGAAAAGAGGATTTTATTATTTGCATGGCTGCAACCCTTTGTCCTCCGGAAGCAGCCATGGGCAGCAAACAACAAAGTAATAAAACAGTACAATTAAAAATAAAACAAAAACTACTTTAAAAAATTTAAAATAACAAAGAATATACTTTTAAAAATTAAAACGTTAGGAACATCTAAGTTAAAAAAACAAACTCAAACCAGTCACATACTGTCACAGCTAATAATTTCTAGGTTGCTAGGCGTTTTTCAGTCATCAAATTTCTGGGTGAATGGGAATGTTTTTATATCCCTCCTTCATGTTAATAGTGAGGCGGGCAAGCACACCTCAACCAGGATACTCCACAGATGGGGAACCACCACTGCCGCAAATAAGTCCCTGTCACGGGTCAGTGGGTTAGTGAAATCACTATCAAAGTAGCAAAATCCTGAGTTATCAGCCTGTATTTCTAGGAACTGGGTGGTCAAATATCTTTACCAACCATACTAGCACTCAGGAATCCATTCTAAGTGTGACTGTGAAAGTACAAAAACACACACACATTTCTTAGTCTCTTGACATGCTGTTCATCCCAAATAGCTGATAGCTAGCTGAATGATAAGGGACGCGGGTGGTGCTGTGGGTTAAACCACAGAGCCTAGGGCTTCCTGATCAGAAGGTCGCCGGTTCAAATCCCCGCAATCCCCATGAGCTCCCGTGGTTTGGTCCCAGCTCCTGCCAACCTAGCAGTTCGAAAGCACCTCAAAGTGCAAGTAGATAAATAGGTACCGCTTCAGCAGGAAGGTAAATGGCGTTTCCGTGCGCTGCTTTGGTTCGCCAGAAGTGGCTTAGTCATGCTGGCCACATGACCCGGAAGCTGTATGCCTGCTCCCTCGGCCAATAAAGCGAGATGAGCGCCACAACCCCAGAGTCGGCCATGACCGGACCTAATGGTCAGGGGTCCCTTTACCTTTAGCTAGATGATAGATGGATAGATAGATAGAGATGATAGGTGATAGATAGAGATAGATAGATGATAGATGATAGATATAGATAGATAGATAGATAGATAGATAGATAGAGATAGATGATAGATAGATAGATGATAGATAGATGATAGATAGATAGATAGATAGATAGATAGATGATAGATAGATAGATAGATAGATAGATAGATGAGAGATGATTGATAGATAGATAGATGATAGATAGATAGATAGATAGATAGATAGATAGATAGATAGATAGATATAGATGGCTAGATGGATGGATAGAGCCTTATTTGGCACTAACGAGGCTTATGGCAGTGACTTTCCCCCTCCTCCTGCGGCATCAAGGATTGTCACAGTTAAGTGCACGACCTGGGATGGGGTGGCCCTGCAGACCAGTAACATGTATGATGTCTCCCTCCCAGATGATGTCATTGAGAAGCAGATAGAAGACGGCCTGCTGAAACCAGAACTGCGCGAGAAAATAAGCTACGTGCTCCTGAGAAAACACCGTCATCAGACCAAGAAACCCATCCACCGATCCCTGGCAGATATTGGCAAATCTGTCTCAAACACAAGTGAGTGCATTCTGCACAGGCAAGGTGGAAGAGACACATTTGCAGTGGTAGTATAGACAGAGGTTCACCCTGGGTGCATTCCCACACATAGTTCTGTTGTTGTTGTTGCATTTGTATCCCACCTTTCCCCCAAGGTGGCATACATGGTTCTCCTTTCTCCTCATTTAATCTCCACAGGTAAAGGTAAAGGACCCCGGGTTATGTCCATCCTATGAGGGAGGTTGGGCTGAGAGGAAGTAACTGGCCCAAGGTCACCCAGTGAGCCCCGTGGCCGAGTGGGGATTTGAACCCTGCTCTCCCAGGTTCGATTCTGACACTCTAACCACTGCTCCACACTGGCTGCTTCATATCCAGAATCATAATGTAGGCAATGTATAGAAACATGCCACAAATTAGGTAGAGTGAGGCAGCTGCCTCAGGTGGCAGATGCTGGGGGGTGGCCATGAGGTGTCAGAAGACAGAGATGTCCATGCCAAATGCCCGACCACCCTACGCTCCCTTAAGCAAGCCTGCTGCACTCGGGGGAGGACACTGCCCTGTCAATGGTGCCCGTCCAATCAGCTTTTTGGTCTATGGAATAGGGAGAGGTGCCATCTTGTCCTTCACCTCAGCCAGGAAAATGGTTTTCATGGAGTTGCATGCCCATCCGAAAACAGAGGCATTGAGGCAGTGATGAACAATTTGTTTTGTTCATTGTCTCAAAAAGAAAAATGCAAAGTGTAACCTTTCCAAGGTGTCAAGCTGATCCTCTCATTTCCAATCTTCTTTCTTCGTGTTTGCAGATCGTAGCCCTGTCCGGAGTCCAGCTGCAGGGGCCAGCTTTCATCGTTCGTCAGAAGATCTCAGAATGAGGCAGAGCGCAAGTTATGGGCGATTACGTGAGTTTCTTTCCAGTTCTTCCTGTCACAGAATGGCGGGAGAGAACTCAGCAGGCAGGGAACAACTTACTGTGGCAACCCCATGTCCTGGCACTTGGAGGAAGGCCCTGGCATCCTTGTCCTGATACACTTCTGCACAGGTGCATGTCACTGTGGTACCAGGATAGCAGGATGATGGAGGAAAGCCATGATTTCTGGTGCTGAGCATGGGGCCAGGCGCAGTGAATTTCCTTCAGTTAACCACAGCTGTTGTGATGTTTGAAACACCTTTCACTTGGTCAGAATAACAGCAGCTGCTGGGGAACCACAAAAGAGGAGTCCACAGGCTAGTAAATTGCACAGGCTTATATGGAGGCATTTCCTTGACTGAGCTTTACTAGTACATAGAAATTAAGTCACGTAACTAGCAGAGGTTACAGTTAGATAACTAGGCCTTATCAGGCAGAGCAAAAGTAGTATCTCAGGTGCAGAGAGGAAGAGCAGGACCATAAAACTCATCAGCAAATTCCTTCACACATCTTCAAAGACCACTTGGCTCCTTTTCCTCTTTCTTTCAATATCCCCTCCCCACACTTTCTTTTTAATGCCTGTATATTGTAAGCTATCTATATATACATTTTCTGCCACATATGCAAATTTGGTGGTAACAATGAATGTGTTGCAGAAAATGTGGTTGGAGGTCTTCTTGGGCTATGAAGGAATTGTATGAATATACTCAGCTCCCCAAATCTTCATTTGTAGCCTGCCCTGATTCTATCTAGTTTGAGAAACTATGTGGTGGTATACTCAGGGTTGGGTTGTAGCGGCTTCTCGGTGAAGAAATCACATCAAGGACAGACAACATAAAATCCTGGATCTCTAGACAGAATTTCCAGAATCTCAGCTCTCAATTTTTTAAAAAATAAATAAATGATATTTCATCATATATGGGTGCATAATGTGTTTACTCCTTTAGGCCATGCACAAAGCAGAAGCATGAACGACATCACAGATACACCAAGCACAGATCAGGTAAGAAATCCCAAACACTAAAATCTTTTCTTTTAGGTTTCCAACCCCCAGGACCAAATGTCAGCCACAAATTTAGTCATTGGCTTCCCAAAACGAGAACCAGTTGCAGTTTTCCTGCATGTGTGTTCTTTGTCACAATAAAACAAATTTGAAATTGTTTTCAGAACTTCTCATTGCTGTGCAGGATGTACCTCTTGTGAAGGATTCATTACAGTGGTCTTCACATGTCTTAAAATATGTGAATCCATTTGTTTCCAAAGTAGAGGTGTCTTGTTGTCCATGGTAAGGACCGGCTCCACCGTGCAGCAGCAGCAGCAGGGTCAAGTGGCCTGCTTTCAGCAGCATCAGAAGGATGGCAGGAGGAGGGAACAGATTAAAGCAGGAACTGCTTTCTGAAAGGTGCAACAAAACAAGTTCGAATTTAAAGATGAATCTGTGAAATTTGCACTTTCTGAAATGCTGTGAAAACCAAAACGCAGTCATCCTTCAAAATTTGCAGTGCAATTCTCCAATCAATCGGTCTATTCATAAATGAATATATTAGGGGAATGTGTGCATGAAAGTTAAAATATTAGCAAAAATAATTTACAAAAATGCATCATATGAAGAAAATTGCTTGCAAAAATGCATAGTAGTCAAAACTGCCCCCCAAAAATTTGGGGGGATAAATGTGCACCAAAATGCTAGTGAATTTTCATGAAAAATTAAATAATAATAATCACAAGTTGCTGCAGAAATCTGGAGAACTTAATTTATGATTTGGAAAAATAGGAACTGAGAGAACCAGAATTGACCGATCCCCCCCCATCCCTTTCCATCCTAATGGGGAGGGGGGATTTGGAGTGCCCTTTTGAGCAGCCATGTCCATTGCATTGGGAGTGGTGGCGGTGGCAGCTTGAGCATTCAGTAGGAAGGGCTAGTGAAAGGAATGGATGTTCTGAGGAATGTAAATTCAAATGACATTTCTTTCAGAAGCTACCTCCTACATTTCTCCGATGAAAATAGGGACGTCTTGTTCTATTATTATTATTATTATTATTATTATTATTATTATACCCAACCCTTCTGATTGGGTTCCTCCAGCCACTCTGGGCAGCTTCCAACATATATAAAAACATTAAAAAAAACTAAGCATTAAAACACCTCCCTACACAGGACTGCCTTCACAAGTCTCGGAGGTTGGATGACTCCATACCCTCCAGCATTTCTCCAATGAAAATAGGGATGTCCTAAGGAAAAGTGGGACATTCCAGGATCAAATCAGAAACCAGGACGGCTTCTGTAAATCATGGACATCCCTGGAAAATAGGGACACTTGGCCAGTTTATGATTCTGGCCTACACATATAGGTGACGCTCTGAGGGCTTTTCAATCAGTTAGGTCCCATCTGCAGTACATATTTAAAGCAGTATCACAACATTTTAAACAGTCAAGGCTTCCCCCCAAAGAGTTCTGGGAAGTGTTAACATAAACAACAATAGGGGCAGCATGAAAAAGCTTTGCCTGAGAATCATAGAATTTTAGAATTGGAAGGGACCACGAGGGTCATCTACTCCAACACCCTGCAATGCCGGATTATGTTTGCCCAACATGGGGCTTGAACCCACAACCATGAATTAAGAGTCTCGTGTTCTACCAACTGAGCTATCCCACACAACTAATGCCAAATTCTGTCAAAGGCACTGGCACTGGTGGCAGGGGGCAGAATTGTGGCAGCCCTAGAAGTACTGCTTTGGGGTCACCTCCATAGTTCTCCATAGTAAGGAGTTGTTTTGATACAAGGGAAGGGCTGTAGCAGAGCACCTGTTTTGCATGATGCAGAAGGTCCTAAATTCCGTCCATGGCATCTCTAGGTATGGCTGAGAGAGATCCATCAGAAATCCTGGAGAGCCTCTTCCAGTGAACTCCAGACGATTGATTTGACTTGGTATCTGGCAGCTTCTGAATGCAAGTTCATGTCTCCTGCTTGAAAAGTGGGTGTGGGGAGGGTTAACCTGAAGGCATGCAAAGTATTTTGCTCCCAAAAGAACACTGGTCTTAATCAGCCTAGTAGGGCCACTACAAAGGGACTTTTACATGAAGTTTTACATGAAGCTTAGAGGTTGCTCCTAACTCCTGCTCTCTGCTTATTCCAAAAGCTTTGTTGGCTTTTTTTCCATTATGGATTTAAAAGATTAGTAAAAAGGGGGGTGGCAGCAGTGGGTAGGAGGGAGAGCTTTCTGCCTTACTCACATGCCTCTCCTCATGCCAGCATATAGATTATAATAAACCTCAGCCTGAAGTTTATTGAGCCTTTCTCGGTTAATAATAATGAAACAGCCAGAAAAGGACAAGAAGAGTCTTGGGCATGAATCTGTTAAATGAGGTTTCTATCCTCCACTACATCCATATCTCACTCTTCTGCCTCAATGGCTTCAATGTTTGCAAAGAAGAAAGAATTCCACAAAGGTGTTTTATCAAAAGCTGAATTCTCCTTCCTACAGAAGTAATAAGATCAAAGAAGTGCTCTCCTTCTTTGTATCTCAGCACCCTTCATTTGGGGGGGGGGGATTCCTGGATCCCAAGATCCAAGTTGGGAGCAAGATCCAAGCTGGGAGAGAAGCCCAGTGGAGCTTTAAAATCACAAAATATGCATCCAAGTGTGGAAATCTAGGCTGTTAGACCTTTAAAATATGCTCCTTCAAGTTCCTACCAAAGTTTCCCTGTTTCCCCAGCATAGGAAAAAGATCACATGTATGGTAAATTTAAAATGGTTTACTTACTAACTCTCCAAAGGTCAGGTTTATGTGCTTTTCCATACAGCATTCAGAAAAAGTTGCACAGGCAGTAAAACTTAGCTTGCTTAGAAAGTGGTAAAAGTTCTTAAACAATTGGTATAGGAACTCAAGAGAGGCTGGTTAAAGCCATGTGGCTGGCAGCAGCAGCTCAGAACTCCTCACACACCAAAGTTCACATGTATACTGTGAGAACAAAGGCTTGATTACCTAGTTCCTCCCAAGATAAGGGGAAGTGGACATAGCTAAGCCTGGCAGGACAGCTTACTCTATGGTATTAACCCCTTCAGGCATTAATTAGACTTAAGCATGTTGGTTATATGATGCTGCTTATCCCACAAATTTTATGTTTACTTATGGGATATGTGATCAAGATGATGAACTTAGCATAGCATTGCGGTTTAGAGTACGAGCTATGAGAACTTGTAAGACACTGAATCATGTTATTCAGCTATGAGCTCACTTAGTAGCCCTACTTAAGATGCCAGTTCTCACTTATCACATCTGACCTCCTGACTGTGAGTTGCTGCTGCTTACGGGGAAGGAGAAGAGGAAGTGGGAGATGGCCGGGAGGCTGGCACCATCAAAGTCAATCCAGCACTCCTGCCAATGCCTTTGCACTTCCTCCTCTTGTTCTTAGTAAGCAGCAGTGACTCATCTGTTTGGATGGATGTCCCCAACACACCACCCGCTGCTGGCTGGAAGAGACCCTTGTCTGGAATCCTGGTGAGCTGCTGTCAGTCAGTGTTGGCAGTGCTGAGTTAGATGGATCAATATAAGGCCGTTTCCTTGTTCCTAAAATATGAATATACTGTGATGTTCTGTGGTGGGCATATGGGGAGGACTTAGCAAGGGAAGTGGTGGGTGCTTATACTGTCAAGTTCTGGCACTCTGGATTAATTTCATACTCTTCAGGCACAGTCCACAGGGATGTTCTACCACTGAAGCCCCACTGGATTTAATGACAGCACAGTAGAACTTCCCAGTGAACCACTAAAATTGATTTAAGTCTGCCTATACAGTGGTGCCCCGCAAGACGAATGCCTCGCAAGAAGGAAAACCCGCTAGACGAAAGGGTTTTCCGTTTTTCGATGTGCTTCGCAGGGCAAATTTCCCTATGGGCTTGCTTCGCAAGACGAAAATGTCTTGCGAGTCTTGAGATTTTTTTTCGCTTCCCCCCCCTTTTTCTAAGCCGCTAAGCCACTAATAGCCTTTTAGCAGCTAAGCCGCTAAGCCGCTAAGCCTTTAATAGCGCTAAGCCGCTAAGCCGCTAATAGGGTTGCTTCGCAAGACGAAAAAACCGCTAGACGAAGAGACTCGCGGAACGGATTAATTTCGTCTTGCGAGGCACCACTGTACCAATATGGCAGCCTCCAGAATTTTGAACTACAACTCCCATCAGCCCTAGCCAGTACAGCTGTGCTCCCCTAAGCACCCACATCTTATGATTTTGCTGGCTGGGGCTGATGGGAGTTGTAGTCAGGTCAGGCCAATTTAGGATAATTATTGCAATGAGACTACAGCCACACGGTCTACCTTCAGTAAGGATGGATCTGTCAGTGTCACTGTTCTGTTTCCCAGTTTTCCAATCTTAAATTCAGTTCTCCACATTTTGCAGCAATTTGTGAATTTATTTATTTTTAATCACTCATGACAATTGATCAGCATTTTACTGCAAATGTCTTCTAATAAACAGTTTCATATGCAGTTTTGACTAAAATATGCATTTTTGCAAGCAATTTTCCTAATATAACGCATTTTTGTATGTTATTTTCACGATATCTTCATGTTTGTGCATACTTTCCCATAATATGTGCATTTGTCTCTGTTAAATATGATTTCATTTGACAATATTTATAGTTTCTTTTTTGTTTTCCTTTAAAAAAAATATTTTTATTAACAATTTTAACAATAAGAACAACAAACAGAAACTGTAAACACCAAAACTGGATTTCCCATAGTAGTAACATAGTACATACACAGTAACCAATTTGGTGTTAAGCCAATTTAACATGCAAAATCAAAATATGTGCATTTTTGTAAACATTTTTTGGTTGGAGAACAGAATTGCACAGTTTTGATAAGTGTGAATTTCAAATGACAGCTGTTTTTCAGTTTACACATTGTTTCAGAAGGTGTGGATTTGATAGGTTCAGCTTTAAATTCATGCTGAATCAAATTTCTTCTCCATCCCCAACATTCGGTAAAACTACCAAGAATCAAAACTAAGATGGCTGCAACCCAGTCTCCAGCAACATTAAATAAGTACAAAGCTAGGCTTTCAAGAGGTACAGCTACCAAACAGATTAAAATTAAGTAAATTGGCATAATGGCTAATAAATAAAAATACTCTCAATAGAGGATGTACTAACCACATCACTGAGTGACTTTAGCATTTGTCGAGGGCAGCATTTACTGCTGTAGAATCTGAGGGGTGAATAATATGGAACTGGGTAAACATTGAGGGTAATACCTGGAGGTAAGCACCTACCTCTGCCAGTTACCCAGTCCCAGCTGGGGGGGGGGGGCGTAGCCAGGAGAGAGTTGGCCAGGTAAGGGGAGAGATCGACCAGCCCACACAACAGTGGGCGAAACTTACCTGGGAGTTCTCAGTCGGCTTCAGAGCTTCTCCCACCCTGCCCTCCCTCAGTTAAGCCTTCTTTTACAGGTTGACCTCTTCTCCACAGGTGCGCAGGCGCTGCTACGTTACGGTTGCTGTTGAAGGGCCAGAAATGAATTTTCCTGCATTGGCAGGTTTTGCCTTCCCCATAGCAAAACCTCACAACTTTGGCGGTTTCAGGCCTTGGGCGGAATCCTTTAGTCTATCTTCCCTAAATTGGGGATGGCGGTAATCTCAGAGTTCCCCGTTAAAGGGGTTGTTTTGAGGGGAGGCATTGGCCATACGCTGTTAAGTTGTCATGAGGGGTGGGCTCTCTGCTTGAACAGACGTTCTCCAGAGCCAACCCAATCCCCACACATTCTGAATAACCCTGATGTTCCCCAAATCCCTGGCCAGGGACTGGGAGGGATAAACGCCCAATGCCTGAGCTAAGGTCTCCCTACATCTGAAGTTTTAATTAAGTGGCCAAATTTTAATCCCATAACACGTTGCCTTGAGGCATTATTCCACGCATGTGTCGCCCAGGGTCAGCGGGGTCTCCGCCTGTCCATGCAAATGGAAATTACCACAGATCCAACTGCAGCCACATTGTGAGTGTTAAGAGTCCCAGGCGGATTCTAAGTGATGTGTTTCCCCAGCTGGCAAGGCGTTTGCTCTTGCTTTGACTCAGGCAGAAAGAGACAAACCGAAAGAAGGGCATCACTGATTGTTATGTACTGATGTTCTCACCCTGGGCCAGCAGGGGGATACTGTAGATAGTTATGCAAATGAAGGATCGAAAGTGACATTCAGTGATTGGATAGTTTGTATGCAAATGAAGGATCGAAAAGTGACGTTCTGTGATTGGATAGTTTTAGAAAGTTGCAACAGTTACAATTGTTCTGGAGCTCTATATAAGCAGGCTGACTGAGCTCCTCAGTTAGTTCTGTTCCAGCTTACAAATAAAGAGCTGCTTTGGAAGAATCGCTGTGTCGTCTAATATGTTCGCCCACAACTTAACACTGATCTTTAGAGAAATGCTTTTGTTTTTCTCCTAGCTCAAAAACAAATTCATTAAGAAGATCCCCAAAGATGCTGAGGCCTCCAATGTCCTTGTGGGAGAAGTGGACTTCCTGGACAAGCCGTTTGTAGCGTTTGTCCGGCTCATTCAGTCGACCATGCTGGGTGGAGTGACAGAAGTGCCTGTCCCAACGAGGTAGGTAGATGATTAAAAGGAGGATTGTGGCCCTGGCCCCGCCCAGCCCTACAAAAAATCAAAGGCTGGGGGAGAGGGTGGCTGAAAGCAAGGCCTTCAGAAGGAACGCCTTCTGCCCCTGAATATGTCTGCCATTTGGACACCATCCCATGAAAGTACACCCTTTTGCTGGGATTCGTTTTGATGAGCATTCTCAACTCTGCTTCCATTTTTCTTAATTTTATTTTGCTACATGTATATTTATCTCCGCTTTCTGTCATCACTGCACCCAAAGCAGCAAATACACAGTTTGCAGGCAGCCATCCAACTGTACACTGACCAAGCCCAGACCTGCCAAATATTTGCATTTAGCAGAAAAACGACCCATCAGGAGCTACTGGTTTTATTTCCCAAAACTATAGGCACAGATAATTTTTTCTGTGCTATTGAATTAAATCTCAGGTAATTGATGCAGCTACAAGCAATAGTAATTTCTGCATGATGTGACTGTAACTGGCCCATTGTATGTACAAAACATCAAGGTAATGTTTCTAAGTACATCTAGACAGCAATAGTGAAATTAGCAGGCATTATAGTCCCATTTTGGCAGAGCAAATCTGTCTGAACAATACAACTTGCATGTTAACTATTGAAAGGAAAATAACACCCAAGGAGTTCAAGATGTTTTAATTCATAAGGAGAAGTCTGGGATAGAAGCCTCAAAAGGGAGCAATAGATAGAAACTGTTTTGCCTAGTACAGCCTTCCCTGATTTGGTGCCCTCCAATTCTCATCAGCCGCAGCTGATCAGCCCCAGTCCTAAACAGCATGTTGGGAGACACTGAAGTAGCCTAACTGTCATTTAAGCTGGGAGCAGCACAGTGAGATGGCTTGCATATCATCATTCATGCTTCATGAGTTTGCTTCTTTTCCCCCTCTTTAAACCAGATTCCTCTTTATCCTCCTGGGTCCCACTGGAAAGGCAAAATCCTACAATGAAATTGGCAGAGCCATCGCCACCCTCATGGTAGATGATGTAAGTGCATTTTCAATGTCTTCGTAGATGCCTCCCCTACATGGGCGGAGCCAAGGGGGGCAGCTGCCCCCTCATCAAGTAAATCAATAAAAATACTTAACTAACTGAGGTTCTGCCCCCCTAGAAAAAAACATTAAGCCTGCCCCCGTAACAAAATCCTGGCTACACCCATGCTGCTCTGATATTTTATTGAGGATGTCATGCAATGGCATAACCCGGGGTCAGCATTACAAAAGGCATATTCTGTACCTTGTGCAGAAAGGTGGTAAACACGTAGCCAACTCTGCAATGGAACTGAACCAAAGGGTTCAACTAAGTCAGTGAAGGATTTCTGCTTGCATGACACCTCCCTCCTCCAGTGCCCTTTCCAGATCTGCTCCAGAAGGTTGGGGGGGAAGCCTAGCACAGATCTGGAGAGCACACAGGTAGAGGGGGGGAGAGTTCCCTTACGCAAGTGGAGACTGGTTAACACATAAGAAATGAGGCTCAGTGTTATGTACTGAAGTTCTCACCCTGGTCCAGCAGGGGGATACTGTAGATAGTTTTTACTCAGGTCCACATATGCAAATAAGGGATCGAAAGTGACATTCAGTGATTGGATAGTTACAGAAAGTTGTTACAGTTATGTGGTACTGGAGCTCTATATAAGCAGGCTGACTGAACCCTTCAGTTCAGTTCTGTTCTGGCCTGTGAATAAACAAGAGCTGTTTGAAGAATTGCTGTGTCGTCTGATATGTTCACCCACAACTTAACACTCTCCATTGTATTCCACTGCATTTTCTCGGGTAGTGACTTGTCCAGATAATTCCTGTTTTCACTTTTACTTCCA